CCGCTGCAAAACCTTGTCGATCCTTGATTGCCCTCCGTGCGCATACTCCATAGCTAACAGCTTCAACGCTGTCCTTTTGAAAGCGTCCACACGGGGGCCCGAGAAAGATAAGACTTTCAAAAAACAAAAAAGAAGTCACCGAATTTCAGGCGTCCATGGCAATGTTACTACCTGCCAAAGGACAGCGTTGGAGTCATTAGATAGGGAGTATTCGCAGGGCCGGCAAAAAAAGAATCGAGAAGGGAGAGACAGTGAGAGAGGAGCAGCAAGGTGAGAGAGAGAGAGAGAGAGAGAGAGAGAGGAGAGGAGAGGAGAGGAGAGGAGAGGAGGAGGAGAGGAGGGAGCAGCTGCGATTGTGAAAAGAGCACCCGAAAAGGAAGGAGCAGATGCCTTTCTCGACTCGAAGAGGCAGTCCAAGAAACGAATTGAGGGAAGAGAGGAGCAGGGAGGTAGTTGGAGAGAGAGAGAGAGAGAGAGAGAGAGAGAGAGAGAGAGAGAGAGAGAGAGAGAGAGAGAGAGAGAGAGAGAGAGAGAGACCTTTCTTGACTCGAAGAGGCAAAGCACGGAGCAAAGCGAGCTCAAACGAAGAGAGGGGTAGAGAGGAGCAGGGAGGTAGTTGGAGGGAGCGAGAGAGAGACAGAGACAGAGAGACACGGAGAGAGAGAGAGAGAGAGAGAGAGAGAGAGAGAGAGAGAGAGAGAGAGAGAGAGAGGGAGGGAGGAGGGGGCGAAAAGCAAGATGAGATGATCGTAATGAGATTAGACAGCAAGAGATGGCGGCAGTAAGGAACTAAAGAGTCTCTCTTTCTTTCTTCCTTTCCCTCTCCTGGCCTACCGTACCTTGCTCCTTCCTGCCATTACCCGCCAGCTCTGCGGTTGCACCTGCTATGCGCAGCTATGGTGTTTGACGTCATCCGTCAGCTTCCTCCTATGAGATTGTCAATCGATCGAGAATGGCTTGAGCGGCTTCAGAGGTCTTTCATGGCCCCGATTATAGGACAGACGCACACAACAGAGACTATTCTCGTCGACACCGAGGGAGCTACCAGCTTCCTCGCTTCTGCGTGGGCAGAAAAGTCACACGAGTGCGCTGTCCGGCAAGATCGAGAGAAACAGCCGTCATTCAATCTTCGACGGTATTTACAGGTACAAATGGCAACTGTATGATTGCGCTAAAATTGGAAAAATCCATTTGGAATGGCTCACGTTTGGCGAACAGTGCGACGAGAACCTGCTGAGGGGGCTCTCCAGCCGGACAGGGTGCGACACTCTTGCCCTGTGCGACAAGGATGTAACCGCGGACCGCCGGCAGCGGCAACAGCATCTTCGACGCTGCCGCGCTGTGCAACAAGGAGGATGTTACCACTTGTCCGCCGCGCGGTGGGTTATCTACGGCCGGCGGAAATCAGCGACGGAGGCGGGAAAGTCCTGTGGCGCCATTTTCGGTCAGATACCCGCCTTTCGCGCTTTGTTTGAAAGAAAAAGAACAAAAAAAAAAAAAAAAAGGGGACCGAAGTCCCTCTTCGAGGTGGACCCCACTGGAAAATGTCCGGAAAAATAGGCTTCCCTTGAAATCCGCGTTCCGGAGAAAAACGAGACCCCCCAGAACAGGCCCTTTTCCGGCAAATTGGCTTCCACTTTTCTACGAAACGGACGAGTTTGGCCGTTGTGTTTGTGAATGGACGTCGGTGGTGGGACTGTGGACCGGTCCAGGGTGACAATGAGCGGCACCAGTGTGCGGTCGTGTGTGATGGGAAACACACGGAGAGGGCGTTTGTGGTACTCGGTGGGACTGGAGACGGCAATGGTCAGCGGACCTTCCAGAGGACACTTGTAACCCTTGTACCACTGCTCGCGGTGGCCCGTGGAGGTGAGTGCCGTAGCTCAGGGGCAGATCCCACTGGCAAAGAGGATTGGAAGAAATGTCTGAATCTGGACGTGTTCCACGCAGAGGTGCAGAAAAGTAGATCAATCACAAATTTTCGCTCCTGTCCACAAACCCCTCCAGATTCAGACATTTCTTCCAATCTGGCCCTCAGTGGTTAGAGCACCAGTTGACTAGTGAGAGGATGAGATAGATGCGTACTTCCTGAAATAGATTGCTCAGTTGGTAAGGTTCGCAAGTGGCATTCAGGAGGTCATGGGTTCAATCCCCATTGGCCTCATGCCTTCCTGGGCTTACTTGGCACCCGCAACCCAAGAGATAGACCACTGGATCCCCCGATCGGCATCAAGCAGAGTCTGCTATGTTCTTAGGGGAGGGGCCTGAGGGGCGGCACGGGGGATTGGTCCGCTTTATCCCTGGTGCTACCGGCCGTCCCCTGGCCGGTATCCTGCAGGCTCGAGGGGCCGTAAAAACACGGCTCTGGTATGCTACGGGTTTCCCCGTAT